TATATAATAATTTTATATAATTTATTTTCTTTTAAGTTTTAAAAGATATTTATATAGTTTATATTTATATTTATTAATTATATAAATATACAAATTTAATTTGCTAGAATCTAATAATCCTATTTGCCATCTTACGAAATTTGAGATCTAAGATGCCCCTTCTAATCTTAAAAATAAATCCAATTATATTTGACCAACAAAAAAGACATAAAAGTAAATTAAAACATTAGTAACTAAGAGTTTAACAAAGCATCCATGAGTAAAAAAACAATTCAAGTTAGACACAAAGGGAGGAGTTGACAAGCAAAACATTAAAACTTAATGGATTGATGACATCTGATGAATAGAGGGGTTAATTTACTATTGTAGATGAGTTGAGAAGTTAGTTTGCACAGGGACTGAAATGAGGCGTTGATTTGCCACCAGTGGACGTGTTAAGGGGTTAATACACATGTTTTGCCTATGATGTAAGTCCTTACATCAGTTTTGTTTTCATCGACAATGTGCTTCGGCTTCCTTCATTGCCCAATTTCAGAAAAAAAAAGTGCTTACGTCACGGGGTCCTTTTTTTTTTTAATAATTTTTTTGAACAAAGCAAATGTCTACTACTATACGTCACGGGGTATTGGTTGCGAATAGGCTTAGGCGAACGGTTGATTAACTAAATTAGTAGCCGAAAATTAATTAAAAATTAATTGAATGGTTAGATGTAAATAATTATTAGGTTTTTTTTAAAATAAGTTATGATTGGATGACCCAAAAAATTCAACAGAGTAATGGTTAAAGGGTCTGAAAACCAAAAGTTGAAAATATAATCGAGAAATAAAATTTTCTATTAATAATAAATAATAGTTATTTAAATATTATAAATAGAAAGAATATATATTAATCTAAATTCTTAAGATAATTAAAATTTTAATTTTAAATGATATTATTTTATTTAATTAAAATATAATTTTAATTTTTAAAATTTATTATTTTTACTAAACCCTTAATATTTAAAAATTATATTAGATTTTGACTAATTTAAATTTGAGTAATGTTAGACCCATAAAAGAAAAATCTCTCTTTATACTTATATCTCTACTTACAATATTCGAAGTTGAAATCTTATTTAACAAAAATCAAGCTCTTTTTATTTAAATTAATAGGTTATTAGTTTCATCTTATTAAATGTTGATATATGAATTTAAATACTAATAATATATCAACATTTAATAAAGTGCATTTTTAAATTTTAAATTGAATTTTTTGTTTTTAAATGTAAGAATTAATATTTAATAAGAAAGATATTTAAATTTTAAATTAAATTTTAATTAAATAAAATCACATCATTTAATATTAGAATTTTAATTTATTTAAAAGCCATAACTAATAGGTATTATTCTTTTATAAATAAATATAAAGTCATTTTATTCAATCTTATTGTCAAGTATTATTTTATAAATTTTATTATAATTTAAGATGTAAATTTAAAATATACTAAAAATAAAAAAAAATTAAAATTCATATTTTACCATCATTTATCCATCTTTTTACATTTTCTTGCTTTCAAATACTGTTAAAAAAAAATCTTTTTACATTTTCTTACTGTATATTTTTTTCCCTTAAAAATCTTATTCCACGCACGTCGTCACACGTAATCCTTTTTCATATTTGATAGCTATTGGTCAAAATAAAAATCGAAAGAGATTAATATTTATTAGTTAGATTTGTAAAAAAATTAA